GGAGCATATAGTCTGGGACCACACCGCATTTGATGCCCATGCTAGGGCCTTACTGCATGTGGCACCAACTCTGCCTCTGGGATGTACATAGGATCTGTCATGGAGCAGCTGCATGCTAGAGTGGATGCTGCATGCAGCGCGGTTCCAGAGCAGCTGGTCTAGGACATATACTGTATGCAATGCCAGCTCTTGCTGCTCTGGGATGTGTGCTGGGTAGGGCTTGTAGGGCCAGTCTGTGGGCCTGATCTGACCTGTGGGTTGGTCCCACACCACTCATTTGGCCCACAAATGACTTTTGACACCACTGGTTTAGAGAGACTTTAGGTAATTGTTATGAATTGAAATTAAAGGGGTTTACATGTTATTACAAAGTCTTACAGTAAAAATATTAGTTGAAAAACTTTTTATTGTGAACTCATATAGGTGTCAGTGCACTATATGATTGTCCCTTTTTTTTTTTTTTTTAAATCAAATCATTTGGTGTCAGAAATATAGCTGCCTATGTGTCTTCGAGTGATCTGTGGGTAGTAGGGCTGTGCGAAGCTTCGGGTCCTGATTCGATCCAGAGGAGATTCAGCCTGATTTGGCAGCCAAATCTCCGAATCCAAATCAAATCGGGAGACCAATAAAATGGTCTAAATTGATTTGAAGCCTCTGAATCGATTCGGAAAAGATTTGGAAAGAGATTCAGCAATTCGGGCAGTCCCAGCTTGCAGCTGCAGGGAGTGGGACCTGGGCTCTGTGCCAGTAAGTAGGGGGCAAAAGAAGGCTGGAGAAAGGAAGAGGGAACCATGGGAGGACCTCTGCCAGACCCGATTCCCTGCCTGGTCCCCCCTAAGTGCCCCCTGACCCGTGCCTGCTCTCCCAGCTCCATCAATGGCTGCCCCACCTGCTCGTAAAAAAAAAAAGCCCTATACTCTGAAGTGAATACTACCCACTTTGCACAGGCCTAGCAGGCAGCATGCAGGGTGCTCCTCATGGCCCCATGTGCCATATGCAACACCTATTCCTTCTTGTGTCCTGGAGCAGTAGAGTGGCTGTTGCATGCAGGATAGCCCTGGAGCATCTGCTATACTGCTCTGTCTAGGGCTGTGCCATGCATGGCGGTCGCTCCAGGGTTCCCTCTACACCCAGAATGCTGGTCTGGTCTGTAAGCCTGATCCAGCCTGGTGAGTTTGACAGTGGTTGTCTCGTTAACTGCTGAAGTTTTAAGCTTTTCATGTTCAGTGGTACAGCATAGTAAACAAATGCTGCCCAAGTCGAAAAAGAAGGATGAAACACTTTTAAAACATGTGTAAAGTTTTGTTGCCTTTATCTTTGCTGTGAAGTAGGTTCAGTATAATTTTAGTAGTTGGCCGGGGCAAATCAGTGCTGTTTGCCATTCATCTACACTTCTACTCTGGTCAGTCTTCTATTTCAGTTTTAAGCAGGCTAGATTCTTTTGAGTAGATGTGATATCTTTTATTAGACCAACTGAGTAGTTGGAAAAAAGCTCTTAGCAAGCTTTTGGGTGCACCCCAGTTTCATATTGGGGTGAATTAAGTAGCTTATGTATTTTTTGGTATATAGATATAAATTAAACATTTAGGTTTAGCTTTAAATATGAGTAACTTATATTGGATTAATGTAGAATTGTTCACATGAAATTTCCTTTTACTTACTGAAATAAGTTGCTTAAGCTGATTTGTAGGCATCTTCATGAAGGAAGGTTATTTAGCAAAGTTATAGTGAAGTTATTTCATGATGTTTTGCTCAGTTTGAGGTACTTCATTAACTTTTAAGGAATACTTTAAACACCTAATGAACTAAAAAGTGTAAAATGAATAATATGTACATAATCAAAAGAAACATTTTTGACAAGAATGAAAAATATAAGATTTCAAAGTGGGAACAGCATGCCTGAAATCCTCTAAACCATTTATTTGGGAATGATTTCTTGACCTTGGCCTGCCTTTGAGATTTTTTTTTTTTAGGGTAATCCAAATATTGTAAACTTTTTTTTTAAATTTGAATTTCTAAAAAATGATAATGCCTATACACCAATAAGTAGATGCAAACTATTGCACTGGGGACATTCCATTCTGATTTGGCTGCAATAAAGCTATGAATGCAGAGAAACTGCTTTGAATGCTGATTTTGAAGAAGTATTGAAAAGTATTTCATTTGAAAAGAAGCCTTGATGCATGGGGGGGAAAACCTTTATGCTTAGAACTCTAATTTATTTACCCCTGTAGCTTTTATTCTTACTATAAAGTTTTGTTGCAGGTTTGTTGTATTTTACTCTTCTAACTTTTTTAAAAAGCTGCCTTCAGACTGGGAGAAGCTGGAATAGTAATTATAGCTTTATTTTTTTTCTTTACAGTGAAGTCAACCGTGTTGCTCTATCAGAGTCCAACCACAGGTCTCTTTCCCACAAAAACGTTTGGTGACAACCAAAAGGCAAAGGTTCATGACAGTCTTTACTGTGCTGCATGTGCTTGGGCATTAGCACTTGCATACAGGTAACCTTTTTAAAAAGAATATTACATAAATGAAATACAGATTTAGATAGTGGTTCAGTTCTCTGGTAGAGTTAAAACAGCAAAACCTTAACTGTAGACACTCCCTTGGATTAAAGAGGAGGGTGAATAGTTCTATGTTTGGAGGTTTTATTTTAATTAAAACCTTAAAGAAAACCCAGATATTTTCAAAGTGATACTGTGGAAGCAACACTTTTTTTTTCCTACAAGAGCATTTCTCCTACTTACTTAAAAAAATGAAATTAAAACCTGTTCTGAAAAATGAATTTGTGAACTTTGGAAATGAGGACACCAACTATAGATCTCAATTGACTTCAGAATTTCTCGGTTTTAAATGTATTGTATTGTTTTCTTTAAACAACTGCCCTATTGATGTCTGAGAAGCTCATTTCTAACCTACTTCAGTTTCAGCACAGAGTAGTATTCCTCCTGCCAAATCTTGTCTCTAGGTATAAGTTCAACTTTTGCTCTGTTCTGTGCTAGTTATGGAGGATCATAAGAAATTTTATATCCACTGATTTCAACATTAAAATATGGTGGGGCAGGGCACAGGACAGAGCCGCAAGTGGCTTATCTGGGTGGCGTGGGGAGCGGGGAGCAGCTCCCGCCACTACATGGACCCTGGGAGGGCATGGAAGGGCATGTGCCCCCTGGATCTGCACTTGGGGTGAGGGCAGGCTGGCGCTGTGGTCTAGGGGCAGCATCAGGCTTTTCCTGGCAGAGGGGCCACACTTGGGGCGGGTGGTGGTGGTGCTTCTGGAAGGAGGACTACGACGAATTCTGGGGTGGCTGCAGCCTCCCTGCCCCAGCACTGCTGCTATCTGCCCTGAGTGCAGCCTCAGCCCTGTCTCTCCACTGGGAATTGCTTAGTGCAGCCCCTGGCCCAAGCCCACAGAGGCAGCCTGCCCATACCTCATGCACATATCTGGGGACACACGCCCCCATGCCCTCCCAGGATGATCGTAGCAGTGGGGGCCGCCCCTCCCCCAGTGCCCCCAGACGAACCGCTCACAGCTCCGTCCCATGCCCTGCTCCACCCTGGCTGGGCAGCGTCTACCCCTGCCCCACTTCCTTTCTCACTGTGGGAGCCTTGATCTGCCCCTGCCCATGCCCCTTCCCCCCCACAACAGACTTACAAGCTGGACGTTGCTCTCTGTGCAGTGATAAAGGTATGCACAGGTTATTTATTCGGCGCTGGCTGGTGTGGCTGAAAAAAGCTTACTGCCAATAATGTCAATTTTCCTCATATTGGTGCCAATACGATATGGGACTGATGTATCTGTGCACCTCTAGCAATAAAGGTATGTTGGTGGGGGGTGGGGTGTCTACATGGGTACCCCGCTCCCACCCTTGTGGGCAGAAGGGCTGGGTGGTATACAACTAGTTGATGGGCACCATGGGCTAAACGAAAGTGCCTGGTAGGCTGGATCTGGCCCATGGACTGTATTTTGCCTGTCTCTGTACTAAGGTAATGTTAGTTCAACTCTTGTGTATTTATAAGAAAGGAGAATGCCATGGTAGTGATGAATAATCCCTACCATCAGTCAGCATCATGCAGTGAGGAGATAATCATTTTCCCTAGCACAATTCTCCTATATCTGCAGTTGAAGAGCTAATTATAATTTGTTACAATTTTTTGTTTAAGTGCAGATGATTTACCCTATGGATGAAAAATGTTGAGCTACTTGTACTTTGATAATGTTTATGTGTTTTAAGTTATATCTTTCCCTCTTTCTCCCCCTGGCTTTATTTGATAATGTGTTTAAAATTTTGTCTGAAAACCCAAATCTAATGTTTTTAACTAATACTAATTAATTAGCATCCTGAAAAGGCTAATCTTCCCAATTTTGTTTCATTTTTATTGTTAAGTTATAATAATTTTAAAAAGTTAAATAAAAGGAAGTTAGGCTTTAAAATGTGATCGTTACTCCTATATTTTATGCATGTTGAAGGAATTCTTTAAATCCTTTTCTGTTTTTTATTTCCTCCACTCTGGAGTGAGATACATGGAATCTGTTTTGTAGCTTAGGGGAAGGAGAGGTAGTGGGAAAAAAATTATAGGTAAACCTACATTCCCTCATACATTTGCACTTCCCATGTTTTTGAAAATAAAGTTCCAGCTCCTGGCTATGCAACTGGTTTAGTGTGATTAATAATCTCTGCTCTCAAAAAGGCCGGTAGTAGAAGGGTGCTGCAGGGGATCTCCTGCCTTGCTATAGCTGGGATGTGTGCTGGGCTCAGCCTGAGACAACAGCAGTGTTTTGCCCTCCTTGCCTGGTTTCCCCTGGGTGTTTCCCAAACTCAGGAGCAGGAGTGGGGAGGGGGAACTTGCCCCACTATGCTACTGTTGTTGTCCCAGACTAAGTCCAGCCCCCACACAGCCCAGCTAGAGTGAGACAGGAGTTTCCCTTGCTCCCAGCACAGCAGTGTCAGCAGCAGGCAGGGAATGGGGAATGGAAGATGGGGAAGGCGGGGGAGGGTATGTGCCTCTGAACATGGAGGGGAAAGAAGAAGGGGACAGAAATTCTTACCATCTTCAGGACTTAAAGAAGTCCTTGGCTGTTGCTCCTACTGTGTGGTCAAAAATGTCCCAGGGGACAGGGGTTGAGGCCAGGCCTCTGCATCTACTCCCAGCCAGTAGTAAAGTAAAATAGATGTTACAAGTCAGAAGCACTGTGAAGCTGTGTTGGATATTTTGTAGAATTCACCTTCCATATACAATTATGTTCCTGCCTCTGCCGTGTGCTGCTGAACTGTTCACTTTCAGAACGCTCTAGCTACTGTTCCCCAAAACATTCTAAAGAACACTGAGATTTGGCATTAGGTGATAAAAAATATCTAGGAAACTGATAAAACTTTAATAGAGCTCTTTACTTTCTCGAGGTTATACTTAGAGTTTAGACAAATGTTTCAGAACTGTAAGCCTATTCAGGACATATTTCATTGTCTTTATTCTTTAGGGATTTACCTTTTCCCAGCTTGAATTTTTTTAACTGATGCTATATATCTCATTTTGGTCTTGTTTTGTGTATCTAAATAGATGTAATGCCAGTGTTAAAAAAGCCTTCAAATGATACGTTGTCAGACTATGCTGTGATTCGTAAAGCTATCACAACATTGTTATTTGTATGACTCGTGAAAGCCCAGCATACCCTAACGACTCCTTCCTCATTGCAATACACTCCCACTTCGGCATTGTGCAATAGTCCTTAAATGAGATGCAATAAACTTAGTGATGGTAATAACTAAGAATAGTAATGTGATAATTAAGTATGCGTACGCTTAAAGACTACTGTTGTGTGGGTGTTTTTATGTGTATATATTTGCATTGCTTTAGTACCTTTCAACTGAATAGGGAAATATTATAATATTTTTCCTGTCCAAAATATAAGTCTTTGACTGTGTGAATTACAGCCATTTTGTAAAAATAATAAAAAACCCAAAGAAAATTGTTCCTGAATATAAGGGTATCCTAAACAAATCAAAGTAGAACAAATTTTGCTCTTTTTAAATACCAGAGCAATTTTCTTTCTGTGTTTTTCTTTTCTTTTTTCTAGTTGAGAAGTTAGAGGGCAAATTTCTACCCTCAGTTTTTGTTGCTAAGTTAGAGTGTAAACTAAAAAACTTGGATTTTTTTATCAAAGAAAAGCTGACAGGATGTTTCCTTGTTGAGCTGCAAAATAATAGCATTAGCATGGGCCCCTTTTTAATACTGTGCTAACTATGTAGTTAAACGCATAATTATCAAAAGCACTAATGCTACCTTTAACTTCTTCCTAATGCATTTCCAATTTGTTTCTTGGGTTATCTTTCTCACCCAGGCGTATTGATGATGACAAAGGACGGACTCATGAGCTGGAGCATTCTGCTATAAAATGTATGAGAGGAATTCTCTACTGCTACATGCGTCAGGCTGATAAGGTAAACCACTGCAGTATGGACACAAGCTCTCACTTAATTCTAAAGGATTAATTTAACTATAAGCAGTGGCATCTTCTATATATAGATAAAATTAAAAGGGCAATGCAATACTCCAGTGCAGCCTAGCTAAGAAATGACTGCTTCCATTTTCAGGACCCAGCAATATGAAAATTTGGAAGGTAAGAAGCACTTTATCCAGAGAATAAATTGTCAAATATATTCAAAATTACTTTGTTTTTCTGGCCCTGATCCATGGTCCTACTGTACAATGGCTTCACTGCACAATTCTTTCTACTGCAATTGTCTGCAGGGGACTGGGAGAATAGAACTCCTTCCCATTTATACACCCCAGCGTGGGGCCAAGGAGCACTGACAGCCTAAGTGTAAGCCAAAATTCTTCATACATAGGTATTTATTTGCAAGTCCTGGGAAGAATGAGAGAGATTTAAGTGCTGCTGCTGTTTTTCCTGAAAGGGCAGCAATATCTAGGAGTATAAATAGAAGTGAGAAGGCTGGAGACTGAAAATCCTGACTCTATTTTGGTGTGGATTTTATTGGGCCTGTCCGTTATGCCTTCTTTGGGAAACCTATAGCTAGGGGCTACTGGAATTCATGTTGGAAACGCTATATGCAACAGCTCCTTTAATCATGGAGTTTTCCTTGTGTCTCCCTCCTGCTGCTCATTGGAGAGGAGCCATGTTGCTTGCTGTTTATTCCTGACTGGTGGGGAGGCAAAAACTGTGATTTTAAATATGCCACGGTTTTTGTCTCCTGCTGCTGATTGGCATAAGAGCTCTAGTGGCCCCACCACTTGCTGCTGAATTGACAGGAGACAAAAACCACAGCATATTTTAAAATGTGGTTTTCACCTCCCAGCAGCCATCAGGAGCAAACAGCAAGGCTGAAGGGATCCCTCTGCCGATTAGCAGTGGGGGATGCACAAGGAAAACTCCCAAGATTAAAGGAGTCACTGCTCAGCACACTTGTGACAAAAATTCTAGTGTCCCTACCTATAACAGACTCTTTTTTTTAAAATAGAGATTAAAGGAACAAATTTAAGACTATTTGTGAGATTAGTTTAGCTCAGTGATTCTCAACTGGGATGCTGCAGTCTTTTTAGAAGGATGACACAGGTGCAGTGGGGTCAGCACCATGAGAAATTAAATTAGTGCCACTTTAAATGGGATGCCGCTAAAATCAGAAACATTATCCAGGGATGCCTGGCATCTAAAAAGGTTGAGAACCAGTAGTCTAGCTGAAACTCTGGGGAGGGTATTATGATTAGGGGGAGGGTTGTTCGCTTTATTTTTAATTAGTTAACATCAACATTTTATATTTAAATACACATTCTTTCTGAATGGGTTATTTGGCAAGGTGATGTGACATTGTCCTAGAAAGCAGATAATTCAAGGAGGCTCACTTATAAGAAGATGTCCCCAAGAGGTTAAGACTTGCAAATATGAATATAATTATTTTCTTTTTAGCAAAATATGTAAATCTTTTATTTTACTTCACTTTCTGATGATTTTGCAAGTGCTAGATGAATCCCTTTTCAAGAAAGAAGAGGAATACATTACTTCTTTAACAACTCTTAAAGTTCAAAATTTGCTGGTTATGTCATATAAAACATAAACATGAAAGAAGGTGTTGTGGTTGCATCAATGTGCTTTTTTTTAAATCATAGTTTCATAGTTTCTAGGGTCGGAAGGGACCTGAGCAGATCATCTAGTCCGACCCCCTGCCATGGCAGGAAGAGCACTGGGGTCAAATGACCCCAGTAAGGTGGTCATCCAACCTCCTCTTAAAAACCCCCAGGGTGGGAGCCTGCACCACCTCCCTTGGAAGCTGGTTCCAGACTCTAGCCGCCCTGACTGTGAATTAGCGTGTCCTGATGTCCAACTTAAACCTTCCCTCCGCCAATCTTCACTTATGCGTTAAAATGACTGAATTGTTTGGATTTATTTTTCAATTAATAAGTGTAGTGTGGTCTGTCTGGAGAACAAAATGATAGATGGGAGGAAAAGAAAGTTATATTTGCTTTTTTGATATTGGAACTATATAACAAACCTATAATTTGTCTACCCATGCTCGATACTGCACATCATTTTGAACAAAGTTCTTTTAAAATATTGTCTTACTAATCATTTATAGATTCTTGAGTATTTTGCAGTAACAAAGCAAGCAACTTATACCATATTAGTATAACCTGAAATATGTTCTCAAATTGCAATAATACATGCATCTCTAACAAGTAGGGGTACACCAATAAAGATATTCTTTGCCAACACCAATAGCACATTATTAAACAATCATATTGGCTGATACTGATCTGATGGACAAATTACAGGAATGCAGCCAGGCAGCTTTGAAAACAGCACCCTGTAAATAAGTCTGTGGAGGGGAAGGGGTGTGGGAAGGCAGATTGAGGCCCCCATGGTGAGGGAGGGAGTGGAGAAGGGGCAGGCACTGCCCAGTCAGGGACCCTAGGGCTGGGAGCAGGACAGAGTTGTAAGCGGCTTGGGGCATGGGGGGGGGGGCTTCCTGTTGCTGCACACCCCTGGGGGAGGCATAGGGGGGATGTACCCCCCCTGGATTTGTGCACGGGGTGGAGGCAGGCTGCCCACTGTGGGCTTGGGGCCAGGGGCTGCACCAGCCTCTTTCTGGTGGGGGTGCTGGGCCAGGGCTGGGCTCAGAACATGTGAGAGTGAGACAGGCTCAGTTGTGCAGGGTGGGTAGCAATGGTACTGGAAGGGCAAAGCAGATGGGGGGCAAGGCAGATTTTGGGGTGGCTGTAGGCCCCCCAAACCCTCCTAGCATCACCCCTGCATGGGGTGCCTTTCCCTTTGGAGCCCTGTGCTGAGGGGTGGACAGGGGGCATGCAGCCAGTGTAGGGCTCCTGAGAGAAAGGCAGCAGAGTGGAGTGCTCTGAGCAGGGGTGCTGCTAGGGGGACTGTGGTGGGGCTATCGCCTCCCCAAAAATCTGCCTTAGGCCCCTCCCCAGTAGCCATCCCTGCCAGCGATGCTGATGCCACCACCTGCCTTGTGCAGCTGAGCCTGCCCCACTCCTCCCACTCTGAGCCCAACCCAGCACCCACACCAGGAAGAGGCTGACACAGCCTCTTTCCCCAAGCCCACCAGAGGCAATGCACCTCTGCCCTGCGCACAAATCAGGGGAAGCACATGCCCCCATGCCTTCCCTGGGGGGCCCGCAGAGGCGGGGAACTGTCCCCTTTCTCTACTCTCCCATGCCCTCTGGAGGAGCTGCCTGTGGCTCCCGAGGTCCCATTCACTGCCCTGGCTGGGCAGCACCTGCCCTTGCCCCACTCCCTGCCTCACTGTGGGGGCCTCAGTTGGCCTTCCCTATGCCCCTTCCCTCCCCCACATCTCTTCTGTCCCACAGACTTACCTGCAGGGTAATGCTCTCTGAGCTGCCTGGCTGCATTCCTGTCTGCATGCATGTACATGGCGTTTATCGGTGACATTATTGGCTACACTGGCCAAAAAAAGCCAAAAGTTGATAATATTAACTTTCCTTTTATCAGTGCCGATCTGATAGGTGCACCTCTACTAACAAGTGTTCAAACTTCTGTTTATTTATGGTACGTGTTGTTTTATAGATCTAAGCAATGTGCATTTTATCATGTCTCAGCTAAAATTATGTTAAAATATAGTACTACTGTATTTAACTTTATGATGTCATATAATCCACAACACACAAATCTCAGAAGAATTAGGTTTATATAGCTCATTTACTTATTAATGAACCAGTATATGTGCCCTGCAGGTGATACTCATGTTAGCAACTTTGTGTTTTTTCTAGTTTTAGTATTGTTGCTTTGTAGGTTAATAGCTTTGACTAATCTTGGCGTAAATTGATTGTGTCAGTGGAGTTATTTCTCTTTTTGACATACAGTAGTTTGCTGTGGGGAAAGACCAGAGTTTGTCAGGGGCGGGCAATTATTTCAGGTGGAGGACCGCTTACCCAGTTTTGGCAGACTGTTGAGGGCTGCATGGGTTGCCCCAACCCCTGGTCACCACCTTGGGACCAGTGTCCCAATGTCTTGGGACCAATGTCCCCGGACCTGCACTGGTGGGGCCCAAAGCAGGGCACAGGCTGGCAGGGGTCTGTGGAGCTGGGTTGGGCTGCACCAGCAGGGAGAGGGGGGAGCTGGCCCGGCTGCATAGAGCCCCTGCCAGCTGGGACCCCGCACTCCTGCCACCCTGCTCTGGGCCCTGCCGGCACTGGCCCCAGGGCACCGGTGCGGGCCCCGTGCTCCCATTGGCTCCCCACCCACTCACTGTCCCCCAACCCCGCAGTACAGGCGGGGGGCAGCGCACAGTCCCGAACCCCTGCTTGCTGGCAGGGAAGAAGCTGGTGCTGAGTGCAGGGAAAAGTGGCCCCTCGCCCACCCCATGGCCAGCTCTCCCTGCTGCAGGCACTTGCAGCCCATGCAGGGCTGTCCGGAGCAGGCAGCCCCACGTGGACTGCAAGCAGCTGCAGCACAGAGTGCCAGCCACAGGGCGAGTAAGGGCTCACTTTTCCCCACGCTCAGCACCAGCTTGTAACCCAGCCCTGCTGCCAGCCTGGGCTCCATGCCGGCTCTGGTCTCGCCCGTTGGGGCTGTGTGCGGCAGCAGTTGCGGCCCCACGCCCCGCTTGCTGTGCTGAGCAGTGCTGGCTGCTGTTGCTGCCCACCCGGAGCTCGTGCACTGGGCAGCACAGAGGCGGTGGTGGCAAACACTGCCCAGCAAGGCAAGTGGGGGGCTCCAGCTGCTGCTGCCACACGCAGCCCTGATGGGTGAGCCTGGAGCTGGTGCGGGACCCAAGCTGGCAGTGGGGCCAGGTTACAAGGTGGTGCTGAGCGCAGGGCGGGGAAAGTGGCCCCTCCCTGCCCTGTGCCCGGCGCCCCACGCTGCAAGTGGCTGCAGCAGGGAGCAGCTGCAATGGAACAAGCGAGGGCCTGCTTTTCCCTGCACCAGGAAGGAGCAGGGAAGGAGCCC